ATCCGATCAAGGAGTTTTAACTACGACACGTAACAATGCCCAAATTGATGAGATCTCGGAGGACCAAGCAGGCCGGTACATCTCCAGTAATGAAGCGGTGTGGCGCATTTTCAGATTTACGATCCACGAACGATACCCAACAGTCGTGCATTTTCATGTTCACCTCGAAAACGGTCAGCGCATCTATCTTAACCAAGGAAATTTGCAAAATCTCCTGGCCAATCCACCAAACACAACATTGACAGGATTCTTTGAGCTATGCAAAACTGACGATTTTTCAAAAACACTGCTCTATTGCGAAGTTCCGAAGTATTACACATGGGACAAGTCAAATAAGTCTTCAGTCGACGCAAACAAGGTGCAATTGTTGAAGGACATGTCAGCATTCGACCTGGCGACGCTCTTTGCCATGTTTACACAGTCCACATGAGAAACTTCGATTGCTACTACTTGAGAATGTTGTTGCACAAAGTCAAAGGCCCAACTTGCTTCATATCATGCAGCTTGCCTGGCATTGGGGCTACTAGTGAACGACAATCAATAGGATGAGACATTGAAGGAAGCGAAGGAATCGGATTCACCATCAAAAATCAGAACTCTCTTCGCAGTCATCCTTTTGTTTTGTGAACCATCAAATCCTAAAGCACTTTGGTAGAGCCACAAAGACTGCATGTGTGAAGACATTTTAAATAGACTTCGACGAGATAATTCTCAAATGACTTTGAAAACTGAAACTGAAATTCCAGTTTCATTTATCAGGAACTAGCGCTAAGTACCCGGCGTTGCCCGGGCGAAAAAGGCAGACACACACATGGACTTACACACAGACATCGACCCACACACATAGAAACACATCGACTTAGAGGCACACACACACATATGGTTAAACCCAGGATGGATCGTTAGCAGGCCAGCCTAAATGTTTCTAACCGGCGAAGATGTTCCATTAGGGAGGTGCACGTTTCGCAAGCGTAGAGAAGGGAGGGAATTACCGTGGCTGAGAAGACCTGTAGCTTCATACGGAGCAAGAGACCAGGTAGCTTCCACACAGCGTAACGTAGCCGATGAAAAGATAATGGCGCTCGACTGATTTGGAGTGAGAGCTCTGCTGTTAAACCGGAGCCGGTCATGAGCACACTGGCCAGGTATGGGAATCTCTCCACAACTGCCGCATCACCAATTGTGAGTTGTAGGGGTGGATTGTCCGATGGTGCAAAATACCCAGGCAGGTGGTTAGTTTTGATGGGGCTGATGGTAAGGCCCCACCTCTTAGTGCCAAGCTCCAGGTTCAGCAGCAGTGCCTCCAGCTCCTCCTCTGAGTGAGCAGCAATCACCAGAGCATCGGCCTACATAACATGGTTGCGCAATAGGGAACCATCCCTTGACCGCACCCGGGCATCGATGAGCATCCCATTGTATCTGTACCATATGGTAATTCCTCCAGCACAGCCATTGAAGGCTTCACGAACTACGTGGTCAAAAGATGTTAAATAATGTGGGAGCCAGAGGACATTCCTGTCGCACCCTAAGGTGTAGAGGGAATGGTTCTGACTGATGGGCACGTAGTTTGACGTGGGGCCGCTCACCATCATGAAGGTCCTTAAGGATCGTGAGTAAAGGGTGAGGGACTCCGAAAGCATGAAGAACAACCTAGAGGCCAGGCCTACTGATGGTATCATAGGCCTTGACCAGGTCAATAAAGCACATACATTCACTCACACGCACACATGAACCTACAGACACGCAAAGAAATTGACTTACTCTGACTCACATGGAGCCACGCACACAAAGCGACTAACACACGCGCCCATGGACTGACACAAACAGACATATCGACTCACACACAAACACATGGACTTACACACACATATGGACTCACACACGCATAGACATCCACTTTAAATACACACGCATGGAGTTACACCCACATATATCGACATACACACATACAGCGACTCACACACACACACATCGACTCACAGCGGAGGGGGTTCCCGCTGAGGGGTCCGGCATATTGGGGTCGACGCTGGCCCATTGGAAGTGCCTAAAGGCAGAGGATTCTTCCTTGGCCAGAATGAGGCTTCGGGCCTGTCGTTCGAGGGGATCGGAGGATCGCCCCTTCCTTTGGCTTGATGACGGTCTCCTCGTGCGCTAGGACGTCGAACTGCAAAAATTCTGCTGTTGTTCCGTTGGAGTTGCGTGGAAAGCTCATTCATGATACGCACGAGAAACTGATGCATTTGGGTGAAAAAAAAACGCGCTGAACTTGGGGAAGGAGTTTTACTGGCCGGGCACGCATAACGATGTTCAACGATTTATTAAGTTCTGCCACGAATGCACACGGTGGAAAGCGCCGGCACAACCCTATCGCGTGCCATTACAATCGATACGGGTTTCCCATGTCAACGAAATTGTTGCCCTAGACATATTGGGTCCGTTTCCCGTCACCCCAAGGGGCCACAAATACTTGCTCGTGGGTGTCGAGTACCTCACTCGCTGGCCTATGGCATAGCCACTGGTGGACCAATCGGCGGGGTCGATCGCTGAAGCTTTTCTGCAAGGATACGTCCTTGATAAAGGTGCCCCGGAGCACCTGCTCACCGATCAAGGCAAACATTTCTCATCCCGGTTACTTACAGAAGTGTGTGATTCACTAGGGACTAAAAAGATTCAGACGTCCCTGTACCACCCGCAAACCGACGGGATGGTCAAACGCCTGCATAGGACGCTAACGTCTATGCTATGCCAACAGGTCAACTCCGCGCAGAATGATTGGGACCTATACGTTCCGGCAACCCTAGCCACTTACAGGCTGGCCCCGCATGCCTCGACGGGGTACTCGCCCTTCTATTTAATGTAGGGTCGCGTGCTCCCATGCAGGTGGCATTGGACCGTCTGAAGGAGGCGAGGGAGGCCTCGTTGGATAACACTGCACGACAGCAAGCTGCCAACGAACGGTTGCATGGCACACAGTCTCCTCGGGAGCCCCGGCGTGTGGGGGACAGGGCTTGGCTGCACTGCCCCATGGTGCCAGTGGGCACGTCTCCAAAGTTCTATCGACCCTGGCAGGGCCCCGTCGAGATTGTGGAAACTCGTCGGGACCAGAGTGTACGGATTCGCTTTGGTCGCCGCGTATGGCATGTTCACCCATCGCGCCTTAAGAAATTTGTACCTCCCTACGACGTGTCATCTCCCATCCCAAAGCGGCCTGTGTTGGATGTGTCCGACGAACCTGTGGTACGGTCGCATGTGAACGCGCCTCAGCAGTCTGCCGTGTGCCTGCAGCACCGCCACTATTAACTCGGAGGAGGCTTTCTGGCAGATTCTCTGGCCGTAGGCCGGTTGGCCAGCCGCAACCTCGGGAAGCGGCCCGGGATGCACAGGAGCGGGATGCGATCATGCCAGCTGATGATCGCTGCGACGAGGAGGGGCACGCATCGAGGACAGGATGCAGCCCCGTGTTAACGAGGGAGCGTTCCCCGCCCTTGTCCCATGTTGACCCATTCAGGGGTGATGGACTGGCTGCTGGAACCCGCTCCCGAGGAAGGAATTTCCATTGACAACGCGCCTCATATGGCTGCTGTACATACGTCGTTAAGCGACGTCATTGTTGTTGATTGTTGTACAATGTTATTGTTGTTCACCACTGTTCAGGTGTCGGATTGTTGTTGTAGCCGGGACGGATAATTCTTTCATCACGGAGGGGGGGGGGGGGGTGATGTAGTGGATTAACACGCGCATACAGAAGGGATGGTAAAGACGCGCGAGTTATGGACAGTGGGGTTACGTCGGGCCGGCCAGGTGTGGCGGCGGGAAACTGTGGAGTAATGACGGGCCAATTAAGTTGAAGCGATATACAGCTGTGATTGGCCGGGGTTGTTGTCAAGGGCGGAGTGGCACCGGAATGTCTGGGAATAGAGGGGCAAGTAACAGGTGCGGGGGGGGGGGGGGAAAGTGGGGCGTCGGTGGCACGCGGCCTAATTAATTGGTTGGTAATGAGAACGGGGATATATTCGGAAGACGGGAAGAACGAGTTGAGTTGTCGCTGGGACTGGAACGAAGCAGGTCGGGGAGAACCGGAGCGAAGACATAGGAGACAAGCAGAGAGAAGGAGAGACAAGCAGAGAGACAAGCAGAGAGACAAGCAGAGAGAAGTAGAGACAAGCAGAGACAAACAGGGACAAGCAGAAACGAGCAGAAAAAAACAGAGACGGAGTGAAGCAGAGACAGCGAGAGTAAGACAGAGCGGGAGAGATAGAGATACAGCATGGGACAGAGACAGAGAGGGACAGAGACAGCGGGAGAGAGATACAGCGTGAGACAGAGACAGAGACAGCGGGAGAGAAACACAGATAAAGCGAGCGACGGAGAGACGGAGACAGCGAGCGACGGAGAGAGATGGAGACATCGAGCGATGGAAAGAGACAGAGACAGCGAGTGATGAAGAGAGACAGGGACGACACAGAGGGACAGTGAGGGATAGGGGAGGAAGCGGAGTGAGACGGGCGTAGCGCGGCGAGCGAGCTGCGGCTAAGTGGAATGACGGAGTCACAGACGTAATGTGAAGAGTTGTAATAAAAGTGGTGTCGGAGAAAACAAGTTATCCGCGTCAAGTCGACCGCTACCTATATATAGTCTTGAAAAATAAAGGATACAAAATGTAATTTTATTTAATGCTAATTTATGGACATATGCAATTTAATGGAATTATGCAAATTAGGCCCAGCTTTGTTGTCTAGGGTGTATTACCAATCGTGATAATACAATAAGAACGTGTGATTGTATAGAATTATGAAAGTGTATGCAATTTGGCTAATTAGGCTCGGCTTCGTTGTCTAGGTTTGTATTACCAATCGTGATAATACAATGATTCTCGCTTTAACTTTCACTGATTATGTTTTTGTGTAATTTTGTCAGGTCTCAGAATTCAGATCTTACCGCAGGATACAGTTCTTAGAATTAATATTATGTATTAACTTAGGAAGGAACCACCCAGACTCTTCTATGTTAAGCAACTTTAATCTCTAAAAACACTCATATGCGAACACACTTGTGATCGGAATTGTCAACACCGTACTCCTGAAGATGTCCGACTCATTGATCCATACAATTAACCCTCAATGTTTACGTTTGTTAAAACTGAGTAACAGAACAATCGGCTAACTCCTCAGAGTAGCGCGACAATACACTGCGTTAGGAAGAGTCCTTAAAAATGACAATATTCATACTAAACGTGCTAAAGAAACATGTGCCCAATGGCAGAAGTCGACATCAATGAATTCATTGGGAAGATTACACAATTAACGAAATGTCCTGAAACAAGTGTGCATGCTAGTTGTACCTGTTTGGCTAACATATGCTTCTCAATTGGCTAATGGGACATCGATGAATTCGCGGACGAGATTGTGATCAAATTAAAAATCTAAACAATAGTATTCCTGTGTGTAGATTCGTAACATAGATGCTTATAAATGTTGTGTCATCAATGAATTCATTGGTAAGGTTATGCAATTAACGAAAACTAATGACTCAAATATTTTTAAACAACCGTATTCATGTAACTCACGGGACAAAACAATGCCTTTCAAGATCAGCTAATAGTTAACACACCACCTTGGAATGACAACCCTTTTCAAAACAAAGAACTTTTTGGAACAATCTTAATAGTTCCAATATGCGCATTGTGTGTGTTGTCTTCTTGCTAACTGTTGAGTTAGCAGCTTCCGAGGTGCAGCGTTCCTTGTACCAAAAACACCTCGGGTCCCCAGCAGGGGTGCTGGGTTGGCGTGTGTGTCGAACAGACGGCGTTCTAGGCTGCTTCGTCAGTCTCTCTCCACCGCTGGGGTGGTTCCCGAGTCGGCACGCTGGTCACGCTGACGGCTCCGCCTGCGTCGATGTGCGCGATGATCCTGTCGCCAGACACCGAGCAGTGTCTGGCGCAGCTCGTCCTCTGGTTGCTGCGCATCGCCCCCCTTGGCACCAGACGCTGTTGACCCTTGTCGACTGTGAAGAGACTGTGGAGAGACAGCGCCTGTCATCTCCCTCCCACCCCACCCGCTTCAAGAGTCATCTTCCAGTTGTCTGTACGACTCGGAGTGCAGAAAGGGCACGCCACAGATCAAGTTACAGTGGTACCTCAGAGATCGAACGCCCCAGAACTCGAACAATTCGGTTATCAAACAAAATTTTCGACCATTTTTTGCCCTGGACATTGAACAAAAATTTGGAGGTCGAACAACTGGAAAGAACCTGTTTGGGCCGAGATGCGTAGCTAGGGCGACCGATACAAAGGCGAATTACCCAGTTTACGTGTAGCTCTCGCCCAGTGCAGACCCGCAAAACATCGTTCCATTAACTTTTTCGTTAATTTCATGAATTTTAGTGTTTTTTGTGTTTATCCGTACACAATGGCTCCTAAAAAGGTTAGTAGCAGTGATAAGCCAAAAAGGAAGGTTTTGAGAACCACGATAGAACTAAGAAAAGAGAATTGAAAAGGCAGAAAGAGGTGTCCGCGTGACTGACATCTCCAAAGAGTATGGTATACCAAAATCGACAATCTGCACGATTTTGAAAAATAAGCCATTAAAGAAGCTAATGTAGCAAAAGGAGTGTCATCTCTATCTAAACAAAGAAGACCAACGAGGAAGTTGAGAAATTGTTATTAATTTGGATAAATGAAAAACAGTTGGCGGGTGATAGCATTTCAGAGGCCATTATATGTGAAAAGGCAAAGCAAATACATTTAGACCTCATTAAAAACACCCCGGGAACAAGTGATGATGCAGATTCTAGTGAAATTTTTAAGGCGAGCCGAGGCTGGTTTGATAAATTTAAAAAGAGATGTGGCATTCATAGTGTTGTAAGGCATGGGGAGACTGCCAGTTCAGACCAAGCAGCTGCTGAGAAATGTTGGGGAATTTAAACGCTTAGTTGACGTGAACGGTTTTATTCCTCAACAAGTTTTCAACTGCGTTGAAACTGGGCTCTTTTGGAAGAAAATGTCAAGGAGGACTTACATCACCCAGGAAGAGAAGGCCTTGCCTGGGCATAAGCCTATGAAAAATAGGCTAACTCTGTTGCTGTGTGGGAATGCAAGCGGGGACTTTAAGGTGAAGCCCCTACTTGTTTACCATTCCGAAAACCCCAGGGTTTTCAATAAGAACAACGTGATAAAGGACAAGTTACACGTGATGTGGAGGGCCAACAATAAAGCCTTAGTAACTAGGCAGTTCTTCATTGAGTGGGTACATAAAGAGTTTGGGCCTAGTGTGAGAAAATACCTCCAGGAGACAGGTGCCACTTAAGGCCCTCCTCGTCATGGACAATGCACCTGTCAGGGGAGTTTTCCTTTATCACTGTAAAGTTCCTGCTCCCCAATACGACTCCTCTCATCCAGCCCATGGACCAACAGGTAATTTCCAACTTTAAAAAAAACTCTACACGAAAGCCCTTTTTCAAAGGTGTTTTGAGGTCACCTCTGATACACAGTTAACACTTAGAGAGTTCTGGAAGAACCACTTTAACATTTTTCATGCTCTAAATCTCATTGACAAAGCCTGGGTGGAAGTGTCTTCCAGGACAATGAACTCTGCCTGGAGGAAGTTGTGGCCAGACTGTGTAGCAGAGAGGGACTTTGAATGCTTTGAACCTGAGCCTGAAACTGAGCCTATGGTCCAGAATATTGTGTATTTAGGCAAGTCCATGGGCTTGAAAGTTGATGATGAAGATGTTGAGGAGTTGGTGAAGGGCCATGACACAGCACTGACGACAGAGGAACTCCAACACCTTCACAATGAGCAGCAACAGATAGCAAAAGAGGACATGTCTTCAGAGGAGGAGGAGGAGGGATGGGATCCTGCACCTAGTTCACTGATAAAGGAAATGATGGCAAAATGGGCTGAGTTACACAATTTTGTAAAAAAACATCATCCAGATAAGGAAGTAGCCAGCAGAGCAGGCGATTTTTATGTTAATGCATTGAGTCATTTCAGAAACATCTTAAAACAGAGGCAGAAACAATCCTCTCTTGATCAGTTTTTAGTACAAAGGCCCTCAAGTGAATCACAGTTAGTGCTCGAAAAAAGGCAAAGAGAAGAAAGAACCCAAGAAGGGCAGTTACCCAACGTTGTTATGGAGGGGGACTCCCTTTCCAAGGAACACTGACACCTCCTCCTCCCCTCCTCACCACCTTCCACTCAAGCCATCCACTCTCCTTACTACAGGTAAAGTGAAGTTCAATGTTCATTTATTCTATTAATTATAACTGTTTTTTTTGTATGTTTTTATGTACTGTACTGTATTTAAATATTGTAAAATTTGTGTAAAAATGGCCCACAATAGGAGCATCCTTGGGTGGGGAACCAATTAATGCTATTTCCATTCATTCTTATGGGAAAAATTAATTCAGTGTTCGAACAATTCGGTGTTCGAACACGGTTTTGGAACGAATTAAGTTTGATCTTTGAGGTACCACTGTATATCGTTCTGTGTCAGTATCTGATCCGACCCTCAACTAAACTTCGCCTGTGGGTTGCGATTTAAAGGGGACTCTCATGAATAGTGATTGCACCAGTTTTCCCTCGAAGGGTTGACTTTGATCTGAGCACAATCGTAAGGACTGTCACTCTATGATCGCATGTGTTGGTTATACACAGCGACCACGCCCCTGGCAATAGTAATGCGACAGCACTCTTCCCCACGTTTGTATGGTAATACTGCGAGTACCAGCCTTGGCTGGCAGCCTCTCTGAATGACGCAAACTCTCCGTGACGCGTGGCTTCTGCCGATGCAGAGCTCCCTATCAATTTTGCCAGGCACGAGGGCAATCCCCGGAGGTTGCTACTCACAGTATTGATTTCTGTTCTTGCGTTCTTTCTTCGCACAAAGGGGCAGCGGCTTTCCTTTTGAAGTCGCTTGGGCTGTTTGTTGTCCGGATGTCTTAATTATCGCCATGTTTCCGTTCACGTTTTGGGCAGCGTTCCCCACGCTCCCATCACAGTTTGGAAGTGTTAATTTTTTTCCGCCTCAGACTTGCAGTCTTTAAAGTCGCGACCTATTGTGCACAGGTGTGCTTGCTGTCGTCATATTTTCCGTCCTCTCATCACGGGTTGCAAGTAAAAACAAAAAGTATTTTTACACCTCTTGGTATCGTAACACTTTCCGCAGTTTTGACTCTGCAAGAGACTCAAAGTATGTTTTGAGCAGCGTTCACAGTACTCACGTCGCGGTTTGGAATTATTGCGTGGTATTTGATATGTTAGGGGGAGGCACCCACTGCATACGTAATTTACTGCTACCATGTGCTGTTAGCTACTGGAATACAAAGGCAGCTGGTGAGGCTCTGATCCCGTGGAATACATATTATCTTGGTCGTGTGTGATTGACATGTTTCACATTGTATGTCTTCTGAATGACCCTAGGTCTAATACTTTAATAATTATTTGGTTCATGCTTAACCAAGATTTGTGGTATACCATAGTTGTTACCAAGGATATTCCGAGGTTTTTATTAACCTTTGTTCCCTGTCTGTATCGCCAGGGATCCGTGCTTCTTATTCTCAAGTTATATTTTGATATCCTCAGGTTGAAGATGTAGCTAAGCTTCCAACTTTACTGTTGTATTTTAAAAACCCCAGTCAGCTCAATGATTAACTGCCCTTGGGTGAATTTTGCTGTCCGGGGAGGTTCGTGACCCCTGCTGTTTCCGTCTTATGTTTTTTCTATTGTGGGTTGTTTCCTTTATGGCAGTCTTCCTCCTGAAGTCAACTGGGGATGTCCCGCAGAATCTCATTAGTCCCCCCTTTGGTTTTCCAGTTTTTTTTATTAAATTGTATGACTTCCCAAGCAGGCTTGTGAGTAATTATCCTCCAGCTGTCTTTTGTGTGTCAAGGTAGGAGGCAGGGGGGGGACTCACCCTTTCCGTGCCACAGCGCTACATCCCGATCAAAATTATTTTTAAAAAGGGCAGAATCTTAATATATATTTTTTTGGAAAAGGCATGTATACAACATGCTCTTCGAGTGTTTGTGATGAGATTTGATACAAAACTCTGAGTTGCTGAGCCAATTAAGCAAGCACCATATAAATGCTAATATTATAACATAGTGAATGCTTGGGAGCTTATTGGCTCTCGCTCCTGGTTAGAGATCTACCAAACCCACATGTCCGCAAATACTGGCCGCTCTTACTATGCAGGATGAACCGAGGAATTGAGTGTTCAACTTCACATTATTTTCATTAAAAGCCCGTTACAAAGGTGAATCGATATAAAGCTTCATTGTCTCAAGCTTGCATATCTACCATTTGAGTTTGTATTGTCTAGGAAGTCCACCCACACCTCCACTTCCACAAACTGCTGGGAGTTGCCTCGCTCTGTCTCACAGTCAGAATTCTCCTCCTGCTTCATGTTGCCTCCATCAATGTGAAGGTCCGATTTTGGAGTTGAATCTTCATCTTCACATTTTACCATCACTTCTTCAAATTTCACCTTCACTTCTTCACTCTTCACCATCACTTCTTCGCTCTTCACCATCACTTCTTCACATTTTACCTTCACTTCTTTGCTCTTCACTGTTGTCTCTTCATATTTCACATTCGCCTCTTCACATTTCACATTGATACCTTTTGAAGTGTCCAAGCTGGGATTTTCTTCTGGTTCTTGTTTCAGGAGGGATGGGCTCATTGCAGTACTTTGACTTTCACAAGTCGATTTCAGACCACACTCCTTGGGGATCGTCTGATGCCTGTGTGTTCTCTGGTGTCTTTGAAGATGTGCTAACTGTGAAAACGCCTTCCCGCACAGAGTACACTTGAAGGGTTTCTCTCCTGTGTGTGTTCTCTGGTGGCTCTGAAGAACAGATGGCCATGTAAACGCCTTGCCGCACAGAGTGCAATTGTAGGGTTTCTCTCCTGTGTGTGTTCTCTGGTGGCTCTGAAGAATTGATGACTGTGCAAATGCCTTCTCACACACAGTGCACTTGAAGGGTTTCTCTCCTGTGTGCGTTCTGTGGTGTTTTTTAAGATATGATGACTCTGTAAATGACTTCTCACACACAGTGCACTTGAAAGGTTTCTCTCCTGTGTGTGTTCTCTGATGGTTTTTAAGATTTGATGACAGTGCAAATGCCTTCTCACACACACTGCATTTGAAGGGTTTCTCTCCCGTGTGCGTTCTCTGGTGGCTCCGAAGATCTCTTGACTGTGCAAATGCCTTCCCGCACAGAGGGCACCTGAAGGGTTTCTCTCCCGTGTGTGTTCTCTGGTGGCCCTGAAGATATGATGCCTTTGCAAATGCCTTCCCGCACACACTGCACTTGAAGGGTTTCTCTCCTGTGTGCGTTCTCTGGTGTATTTTAAGATGTGATGAACGTGCAAATGCTTTCGAGCACGAAGTGCACCTGAAAGGTTTATCTCCAATGTGTGTTCTCTGGTGTATTGTTAGATGTGGTAACTGTGAAAATGTCTCCTCACACACAGTGCACTTGAAAGGTTTCTCTCCTGTGTGTGTTCTCTGGTGCTGTGTCAAATTTCCAGTATGATTCGTGCTGTTTGCATACTGGTCGCATTGTTTCCTTCTTGTACCGAGCTGCGCTGAGTGCCTCTGCTCCATCAGATCAATTCTGCAGAGGAAGCGTCAGAGGAAGTGTCAGCTGCAGACAGAAAAACACATCCACACCATCTACGTCAGTATCGAGGCACAGAGAAATGCATATATACACATTCACACATGACTTACACATCAATACTTCTTCATATATTCATTATATAGTGAAAAAGATTCCCCAATTCATCACACGGGCAGTTAAGGCACACAATGAGAGGGCAAATGGTCATAAATATGCCTGGATTCCCTAGTATCTTCAAAATGAATGTTTACTCAAAACTCCGGTCACTCAATTTCAGATGTCTAGCTACGAAAGTAAAAGTTATTTAAGAAAAATTCAGCTAACATAGCAAAGGGTGTTGAAAATAATACTATTTGTAATATGCATAAATTAATGTTCAATCGAAACTTCGAGGTGTGAAGACAGGATCAGATTTGCTTGAATGCTCGGATGAACAGCTCTAACTTCAGCTGCATATGTGCTGAGATATTTTGCTGTTTCAATTCTTATAAAAAGTTCCAGAGGAAAACTAAATTAAACTATTGTTTTGATTTAACCTCCATGTTCAATAGTTAATATACATTACTGAAAATACAAACTTGATACTGTCACACATTGGCATGGTAAAAAGGTGGTGGTGTGTCCAAAACCATGCCTTGCCGCCTTCATATTCTCAGTATTAATGCTTCCTCACTTCACCATCTAATTAATTTAAGATCAATCAACATAGCAGAGGCCCACAATAAGTTCAGCTTTCACTGAAACTATGTAACACGATTTTTGTCCCTGGGTAGCAAGTGTTATTTTTTAATTGGTCATGCCTAAAAAGTATAGAAAATGGCTATTATTCCCCATAAACTTTGCTTTTGTGACCAGGACTTTACGCAAAGGAATGACTCAAATGCACACGTTTTCTCATTTAAATAAGTAATATTTGAAAAAACTTGTTTTTTTAACACGCTTTAATGAAATGTACCGTACTAGTAATGGAAGAACACCCCGACTCCAGGAAGTGGCCCCGAAGCTTGCCATAACGTAAGGGACCATGGTCATTTACAGCCGTCTGTTTACCGTGGACAATTAGAGTCAAGCTGAAACATAACATATAAAAAATAATGTTTTGAAACATGTTTTATTTTAATTTTTTATGATAGAATATATAGTATTGTCATCAGTATGACATAAGTATACCAAGTTTGCAGTCGATACCACATTGGGAAGTGGGTAAAAATTGAGTTACAAGATTTGAGGATGCAACAACGACAACAAAGTGAGTTAATAAAAAGCGTGTAAGTAAAAAGCTAAATTGCAAAATTACACTGTCCTGGTCACAAACGCAGAGTTTGTGGGGAATAATAGCCATTTTCTGTACTTTTGAGGCATAAGCAATTAGAAAATAACATTTACTACCCAGGGACAAAACATTTTTTTGTTACACAGTGTCATCAATCATGTTTGCTGTCGGCGATAATCAAACTAATTGTTGCGTTCATAATGCAGTGAAATAACTGCGCTACAGCTCCCCACAAAGATAAACTCTTAAATACACATACATTTCATGTATCATTAACATATTATATAAACAAAACATCCACCATTCATGACGAGTTGTAAGTTACCTTATCACAGTGCTAATGCCATGATAGGTGCAATTTAAGGCCATGTAAGTGTGGATTCCTTGTCAGCAGATAATGGGAATTATCCAGGTGTCAAGGGATGACTCACAGATGAACCAGCTGTGCTCCCCTATATTTTGCTGGGTTTTAGAAACACAGTGTTCCACCCATTCATGTGTCACTCCTCCGACCTCATCATTGTTTCAGAGCAAATTTATCTTAACTGCCCTGCAGCATACCTCACGGGCCTCCTCCACAGAGGACAATATTGACACTACTGATACCAGTCATTGGCGGTCCCGATCACCTCCACATCCTCCAATCTCTTCTCTAGCCAATGCCATGCCTTTTCAGCCCCTAATATATGGACTAACAGAAGCTGCTTGAGCATGCAGCGTCTGGGAATGCGGGATTCATGACCGAACCAATGCAGCCTCGCCTGCCAAAGAGACTCATGATTATATTCTATATTGATATATTAAGGATATGTAAGCTTTCTTAGACCTCCTTTGCCAGTACCAAAATATAATAAGTGTTTTTCCCTTTTTTTCTGGCAACAAAACTGAAACCTTTTTACGAGGATTCATGTCTGCATTAACCACAATACCTGCAGTCAAAATGCAAACAAAAAAACATACTATGATAATGTGTGCATTGTTCTTGAAACTGATTGGTCCATACCAAGGGACAGCTTTCTTTTGAGTCTCGACCCAATTGGTGCTCGACCAGATGACGCCTTTACATTACGCCTTTACATTATCATAGTATGTTTTTTGTTTGCATTTTGACTGCAGGTATTGTGGTTAATGAAGACATGAATCCTTGCAAAAAGGTTTCAGTTTTGTTGCCAGAAAAAAGGGGAAAAACCCGATTATTATATGGAAGCTTCTAATACAAAATAGTCTGGTTGAATTAAGGATGAATCATAGGCAGACCAGTCTTTATTGTATAAGCCAGCACAGATGGTTATTTAAATAAGTTCATATTTTGCATCCACAGAGTAATATCTGTGGTCAAGAAGAATCACAGCTTTGTTCGTTCGTTTCTAAAAACGCTTGTCCTGGTGATGCTCGTGGTGGCAGCACACCAAGTTGGGCGGTCCAGGCCTCCCTTTCCCTGGCGACAGACTCTAGCTCAACCTGGGGAATTCCAAAGTGTTCCCAGGCCAGCTGAGTGACAGTCCCACCAGCATGTCCTGGGCCAGCCCCGGGGTCTTAGCCCAGTGGCACGTGCCTGGTAGAGTTCCAGGGGAAGTCTATTAGGGGGCATCCTTACATATATTCTATGCTGATATCACTCCTGGAGCCAGGCCCAAGGGTTGTGTTCGACAACAAGCACCTTGTGGCCGGGTGATTTATGTATCCCAGTTGGGCCCAGCCTGAAATGGCTACGTGGCGCCATCCTGTGCGCTCACCATCCGCAGGACAAAGGGTGAGGGGCGGGTGCGATACCAGTATGGCAGGGAGAGTTATGGTCTCAGATGGACTTGATCTTCCACACAGTGTTACACAGTCTAATGAAAGAATGCTGCTAAACTAATTTGAAGTGAAACTTTGGCTGCCAAACCGGAGCTGGTCGTGAACACATTAAGCAGGTATGGGAGCTCCTCCACCACTTGTAGAACTGCATGATTATTCATGGAGAGTTGAGCAGATGCAGTGTTGTATAACATGAAATTCCCAGGCAGGTGATTTATTTTTGTGGAACATATGCAAGGCCCCATTTCATGATGGAATTATCCAGGCATCAGAACAAAATTCCATAACTCCATCTCATTGAGTAGACATTACCAGATCATCAGCAGATGTAACATGGTTGACCAGCAGGGAACAATCATTTAACTATAACCAGGCATCGATAAGCGTGTTATTTTAACCGCAACGTATGCAATTTATATGGCCATTGTGAGCTTCTCAAACTACCTAATTTTTGAAGATGCTATGTAATGTAATGCATGGGGCCAGAGTGAATGTCTGTCACAAGCCTAGTTGAACAGGAAATGGCTCCGACTCCTGGTCACAAAGCTTTGGACGGGCCTGCCCAAAATCATAAAAATCCTCAACGAATGTGAGCAGAGGCAGAGACATCGAAAACAAAAAACCCAAAGCACCAAGCCTCTTTACGGTATTATAGGCCTTAATTACATCAAGAAAGCAGAGATCTAGTTTCTGGTGAAATCCGTACTCCTCTGCTGCAGTAGATCGACAGAAAAGACAGCCGCCCCTTAAATATTGGAGGTTACGTCCTCGGAAAGTGCCGCGCGACAGCTAAAAGTGCGATATTCTTAAGACTTACCAAAGTAATGGCGTTAGGTAAACGTCAACTAAAATTGACATCACAATTGAAATAAGTACTGTACTGTATTACAAATGAACTACAAACTTAACAATTGAAGTAAACATTGGGAAACCGTATACAAGAGATATTCCAAGACAAAAAATAGTTTCCATCTATGTAAGTAAAGCAGACTTTGCACATGTGTAAGTTTTTTTTGGGAACCAAATTGTGCCAACACAATAAAACCTACACACCCCAAACATTCCATGCGTACTTACGAGGTGAGTTTGTGTGTTTTCCGCACTATTTCATCTTACCTGCTCACCTTCAACACCTGTAACACCTGCACACTCAATCCCCCCACCGCTGCGTCCACCCCCCCACCACCACCCTCTCTCTCATATACTACAATAAACTACAATTCCACGCACTCACCATAACACAAATGTTTGCACTGCAACTGCTATATTTGTTCTCATTAACCACGTTATCCTTCCCTATTATCAGGCTTGCCGGAAAATTCATCCACTTCTGGCTCCTTACTATCCTCGCTGCACGTGCACGACTCACTTCTAACACACACTGCAATATGTACTTTAAAAAAAAAGTACTATTCTAAAATATCTACATCTACGTACCAGCACTACCGAACTCCTTCTACACAACAGCTTTGACTAAATACATTAAGTCTACAACGCCTGGTAAGGACTAAAAAGCACGCATACACACTCGCGTTTACACAATTATATATGTACACACTACCATACACATACCATTCATACCCACTTCAATCACTACAATCACCCCCTCCAACAACTTACATCCTTATACTTCGTTCCTTTGTGGCTGTGTCTTCATATTCCTACTACAGAAGAGAATTAAAGCAAATTCAATCTGGCGAGGGCAGGAGGCAAGGCCCCTCATGGCTAGGCCCCGCGTTGTAATGTTCCAACCTGGACATCGATTCCATACTCGCTGCTACTAAATTGATATCCCTACGAGAGAGAGGAGAGAGGCTCTACCTGGGTAAACAAAAACAACAAGAACCACCACGATAACAACAACAACCACCACAACAACCACGATGTGAACTTCTCACCTCGGATCTCAGTGAGCGCGCGCGACGAACGGCGGCTTCCTGGTATCTCGTGACGTCACGCGGAAGCAGGAGGTGACATGACGTCACTTTCGGGGTTCAACACAATCCCCCTCTACTCATTGTTTTTTTTTCGGTAAAGTCACGTATGTAGAAACACCATAAAATTATATTAAAATAAATCAATCACGACGTTTTGACCGCAACACAAGCGACCTTCATCAGGAGTAAAAAAAACAAATAGCGAGGGAGCACATAGGGTGACATCAACGCAACACATAGAGAGCGTTAAACTGCACGGAGGTAAATACAACAAGAAGATGAGAGACGAGAATTCAACAAACCTAAGAAAAAATTTACGTGATGCAAAACCAGTCGGCCAACAACACAGTTAGACACTTGTTAACACACTTCTACGGGGAAGTTACCTTTACAATTCTGTCCTTTCATTTCTGTCCTTCATTTCTTCGGCCCCTCCCCCCACCTCTACTACTTATTTTAAGCCTCTGTCTGTTCATCCCTCTGGCCCCTTTTTCTTGCTTCTCTGTCCGTCTTTCCTCTTCTTGCCTCTTGGTGTCCCTGTATATGTTTTTTTTTTGCTACCTTATACCTCGTATTTGTTCACTCTGTCTATGCTGGTATGTTCAACCCAGAGGATGAACACGAAATTTTTGCACTCTTCTGAAATTCGTGGTCCGCCAGGCAAGTGTCTTACTGTGTTGTTGGCCGACTGGTTTTGCATCACGTAAATTTTTTTCTTAGGTTTGTTGAATTCTCGTCTCTCATCTTCTTGTTGTATTTACCTCCGTGCAGTTTAACGCTCTCTATGTGTTGCGTTGATGTCACCCTATGTGCTCCCTCGCTATTTGTTTTTTACACCTGATGAAGATCGCTTATGTTGCGGTCGAAACGTCGTGATTGATTTATTTTAATATAATTTAATGGTATTTCTACATACGTGACTTTACCGAAAAACCAATGAGTAATTTATGCTGTCACGAAAGCTTTAATTATTTATTAACACAATCCCCTCCCCCAACGAGCGGCGGTGTAACTGAATAAAGTATATTTCGATATAAAGCTTTCGTGACTGCCGGGATTCATATTATTGGTTCTTTCGGTAAAGTCACGTAGAAGGGAAATAATAAAATAATACAAATAAAATTATCACGACGTTTCGATTGCAACACAAGCAATCATCATCAGGTGTTAAAACCACAGCAAGAAATTTGGAAAAAAGTGGCGATTTTTTCTTAACGTTAGCACCATGGACAGCAACTGGCGGGTGTTCAGACGGACGAGTCCATCTGTGCTCGGAACGGAGGAGGGGGGAGAGAGAAAGAGAATTGAATGCGGTCTGAAAGTCACCGTAAGCGTGAACACAATAAATTAAGACCCGAAATGGTTGATCACATCCTTCCAATTATTGCTAAGCCAGAATCCATCTTCTCGGTTGAAATTGTCTCTGTGTTTGTATATGTGGATAGCCTCATGAACGAATCTCTCATGGTAGCCAGATGGCTTGCAGATAACCTCTGTCTTGGAGAAGTCAATGTCATGTGAGCCCACTGAATTATAACAGTGGTCTGCCACTGCTGAGGTGTTGGTCCTACTGTGTTTTAGGTCTGTTTTGTGTTCACAGATGCGGTCTGAGACATGTTGTTTGGTTTCTCCAATGTAACTGCTACCACAGAGGCAACTTAGTTTGTTGACGGGACCAGATCACGGACCGGGCGTGCAGGACGAGATTGTGTATTGGGAACAAGGGCGGAGATGGAGGGGTTCAAAGGGGCTGTGGGACGCGTGTTCGGGGTTGGTTTTGGAACAAGTGTTTCTGTGCATTGGAGAAATAAAGAAGTGCTCATCCAGTCTCCGACTCTTCTTCATATGTGTAGTGGTGTTATCTCACACGGTTTTCTCCTGTCACATTATTCGTACAGAACTCCTCGCGTTCAACACCACGCATATCTGTCGCACCTCTTTCGCTTGCACTGCTCGTCTGCCACTCGCTCTCTCTCGCTCCGCTAGCCTGCTATGTTGCACTCTGCTAGCTCTTTCACTGCTAGCCTCTTACTATACACTCTGTTAGCTTCTCTACTGCTAGCCTTCTCACAGCCACATTTATGATTCCGCTAGCTTCTCTACTGCTAGCCTGTCTCACACTCACACTTAGGATTCCGCTAGCCTCTCTACTGCTAGCCTGTCTACCCTCACTCCTCCAACCTCGCCCTTGCATCCAGCGGGGGATCAGCCAACACCGCTGGAGAGGACTTGGTGTGGAGAGCGGGGTCGTGGACTTCTCTTGACATCTCCCTTGTCTTCACTCCATCCAACTCAACTCCTGTTTCCCCGCACATCTGCATATATCCTCTCATTAATTGCCATCAAATGGCCCTCATTAAACCGGCGTCATCCCGACGCCTCCCGCGCGTGTTCTCCCCTCTTATCGCCACTATCACTCGCCTACTCGCGTCTGCATTTGCAGACAGCCAATCACCACTATGCATCTTGATTGGTCGCCCCTTTCTGGTAAGTTGCCTCGGTTTTTCCGAAAACGCAGTAAAATTATTTAAAAATTACCTCTTTTCTCGCACCCAAACCGTATTCACAGATGGTTGGAGGTCAAACAGTGTTAAGATAACAAAAGGGGTTCCACAGGGTTCCATCCTCAGCCTCCTCTTGTTCCCTCTATATGTCAATGACTTGGGCACTGACCTGGATCATTCCAGGGTAAATCTTTTTGCAGATGGCACGATACTGATTACTGCTGGCCGCTCTCCAGATGACGCGATTGCTAAGCTCCAGGGTGATTTCAACAAACTACAACATCAGCTAGTTGCTCTTAAACTAGTTCTGAATACCTCCAAAACCAAGGTGCTATGCTTCTCACCAGGACTAAAGCAGGAAGCTATTCTCCCCAATTACATTCCCTAAATAATTATCAAATAGAGCAAGTCAAGATCTATAAGTATATTGGGGTCATTCTGGATTCAAAACTGAATTTTGAAGATCACATTGATTATATTGGTAAAAATGGGTTTTCTGTATCGACACAAGCACTGCTTCCCCCCCATGTTCCGTTTGGAAAAGATAAAAGCTACCATACTGCCTCTACTTGATTACTGTTACATTGTGTATAAATCAGCCCCAAGTACTGTACTGAAGAAGCTTGATTCCATCTATCACTCGGCCTTAAGATTTGCATTGAACTGCCCATATAGGACTCACCACTGTGATCTCTACATTGGGTCAAACTTAACATCTCTTAATATTCGACGGCTTGTGCACCAGATCCGCAGACTACCTGCTGGATCTCCTCTCTGTTTCAAAGAACAAATTTTGCCTCAGGTCTTCGCTCATTTACCAGCTTCACATTCCCTATTGTCGTACAAAAACCGGAGGAAGGGCCTTTGCTATTGATGCCCCCAGGGTCTGGAATGCTATTGCTAATAACTGCAACTTGAATCACTACCTATGAGATCTTCACTCAAAACTGCTCTAGAGAAGTTGTACACCCCTAGCTGCCACTGCTATTCAGTGGCCTAAAATAAAATCAAATGTTTCGCTCCGGATGACTGCTGCAAAGTATTATCTGTATTTTGATTTAGTGTGCTGATCTTAAAGGTGCATTGAAAAATGTCATACTTCGACTAATGCTCCTGTTGTTGTGGAGTGACTCATGCAGCCAGCTATAGCTCTAGAGTTTGGTGTTACATGTTGTTTATGTCGTTTATTGTGAAAATTCGGTCACAGTTCCTATGATCACTGTTACATTGCTTTTATGGCTTTATTTTGGTGATGTCGACAACGTTTTTTTGGTTTGGCCATGTTTGTTTGTTGTAGTACGGAGTTAGACTGATGGCCTTAATGTAAGTTGTCTTGTGGTTGTTGTTGTTGTTCATATTCTTAGTTCTTTCGGTAAAGTCACGTTGAAGGGAAACAATAAAAGAATAAAATATATATAAAACAATAAAAATTCTCACGACGTTTCGACCATAACACAAACGGTCGTCATCAGGTGTGTCGGTTTGCATACATTTATTTATTTTTAAACGGTGTATTTATTTATTTATAAAAAACGTTAGCGCCACGCGCAGCGATTTGGCAGTTTATTTAGAAGGACTAGTCCATCTATGTTCTGAAAAGAGGAGGGGGGAGACGAAAAATTAAATGTATGCTGTCTGAAAGCCACTGTAAGCGTGAACAATCAATTAAGACCTGAAATGGTTTATCAAATCTTTACAATGATTGCTAAGCCAGAATCTATCTCCTCGGTTGAAATTGTCTCTGTGCTTGTATATGTGGATAGTCTCATGAACGAATCTCTCATGGTAGCCAGATGGCTTACAAAGAACCTCTGTCTTGGAAAAGTCAATGTCATGTGAGCCTACTGAATTATAACAATGATCTGCCACGGCCGAGGTGTTGGTCCTACCGTGTTTAAGGTCTGCTTTGTGTTCACGAATGCGGTCCGAGACATGGCGTTTGGTTTCTCCAATGTAACTACTACCACAGAGGCAACTTAGTTTGTAGACACCAGGGTATTGTATGTCCGGAATCACATATTTTACAGACGGAACCAGATCACGGATTTTATGTAATGTGTTGAAACGGACCTGGATCTTGTGTTTATTCAAGATTTTGGATATCTTTTTGTGATCCCCGCAATGTAGGGTAAAGTGATGGTTTTGAAAGGCTCCTCAAGAGGGTCCTTCTTCATGGTTTGAGTGATAGCTTTGCGGATTGTATAGTCGGAGTAACCATTAGCCTTAAGAGCTTGGTGTACGTGCTTGAGTTCACTGCCTATGTGTTCCTGGTCGGATATGCATTGGGCTCTATGATACAGAGTCTTGATGAGAGAATTCTTCTGTGATGGATGGTGGTGGGAATCCGGTTTCAGATAAGCATCCGTATGGGTAGCTTTCCTGTAGACAGAGTGGCTCATTGAACCATCAGGTCTCTTTTTAATTAGGACATCCAAAAAAGTAGCATGCCATCTTTTTCGACTTCCATGGTAAATCTGATGGCTGGGTGTATGGAATTGATGTGGTCGAAGAATTGGTCTAGAGCAGGCCG